CCGGGGCGCCGCTGGGCTTGGCGCTCAAGAAGAAGAGCATCCCGCAGCCCACCAACGCCCTCAAGTCCTTCAACTGGTCCAAGCTGCCCGAGGTAAGACACGTCCTGGGTGCCCGGGGCCAGCCCGCGGCCGGGCAAGGTGGCCCCTGCCCCCTGCCACACGCGCGCGCTGTGTTGCAGAACAAGCTGGCCGGCACCGTGTGGACCGAGATCGACGACGCGAAGGTCTTCAAAATCCTCGACCTGGAGGACCTCGAGAGAACCTTCTCGGCCTACCAAAGGCAGCAGGTAGCGCCCGGCAGCTCAGTTCCCCCGTGTGGTCTCAACCCCTCTGCCACCAGGGCTGGATGTGCCCCCTGCCCACAGCGAGTGTGTGAAAGTGGCCCCCACGGTTGGGCAGCATTTCTGGATTGCTCTTAAGAGCCACTGCTGGCATTCTCCATATTGGGTGGAAAATGTACATGCCTCTCTGGCCAAAAAAAAGGACTGAAGTTTTACCCACATCTGCCATGGGTGGATCTCTTCTTTTATTTTTGTAGTGAGCCCCGAGCAAAATGCGAGCTTTGAACACAAAACAAATCCCAGAGCAAAAGAATGACACAATGGGCAAAAGTCTCTGCCTTTTAATCTCGTTTTTGAGCAATATGGCCCCAATTTGGAAGGCATCAAAGCATGAGGAAAATGAGACGCTTATTTTACCCCAGGCAGGATCATTAGTGGGCAAAAGCCACGAGGTTTTCAGGAATGTGGGATAAAAAGCCAGGAGAGATGCTGCAAAAGTTGCATTCACCTGCAGTGTCCTGGGACGAGGGGAGAGGATGGTGGCACAGGGAGGGAAGGGACCCATAAGCTCCTTAGACAACCTGAGAATTTAATCTCTCCCAGGGACTAATCCAGGGGAATATCAAAGTGGATTAGAGCAGGGCAGATATCAAAAGTAACCTACCAGAAGTAGGTGCTGCCTCGGCATATTTTGGGAATAGGTCACTGAGGTGCTGGCTCTTTCCTTTGGAGTTTTTGGATCTCGATTAATGCTTACTGGGGAGATTAGCAAGGACAACAGGTGGAAATGGAGAGGAAGCAGAAAACAGAAAGCTGGGGCACTAGCTGGTTCCTTGATGTGAGGCAGCTCATCGCCTGGTTAACACTAGATTATTGCAAGGCAGAAATGGAAATTTAAAAATAATTATTTTCCTCCAAACTGGCTCTGTGGTCACTGATCCTGCTCAGCCGGATGGATGTGCAACATTCAGCCCCCAACCCACCCCAAATCACAAAACCGACCTGCAAACCTCTGCCTAGATAGTACGTGGACCTGAGATTAGCTACTTATTTAATTTTAAGCATCTCTTTACAGATGCGTTTCCCAGGCCAAAACCTAGATAGTAAATGCAGGCTATAAAATCTATAAAATGAGCTGTGCAGCTGGGGACAGCGCAGGGGACTTGGGGACAGCGCAGGGCCTGGACGTGCGCATGGGGGCAGAAATGCAAGTCGAGGGCACAGCCCCGGGAGGTCCCGGCTCCAGCAGTGCTGAGTGCGGTGAAAGAGCTGTGGCCAATGGAAAAAAACCCGTGTGTTGTTGAACCCAGGGCTTAGCAGCGAGCTAGGAAAGAATTTATCTTCCAAAAAAGGACGTGAGAAGAAAAGGCTCCATCTCCTCTCTGTAAGCCAGGGTGTCCTGCACACGTGCCAGAGGGTACGTAACGTGTGTGGGACAGCGATAGTGGATTTAAGGAAGCTGCTCGCTCCTTCCCTGCCATCCTCCCCGCTTGGTAGAGCTTGGATCACAGTTAGTGCAAGAAACGGGCAGAGCTGAGGTTTGTTTGAGGCGGAGGGTGGTGTTTTTCACATTGGGCATTCTCTGTAGCCTAAGGGCGTTGTGAGCTCTCTGTTTCCTGAAGAGGCTGGATTGCAGGAGGACAACAGCATCCTCCTCCTGTCCAGGGGGGTAGATCTAAGCATCTGGATGAAAGAAGGACTCCCTAATTAGGGGTTAGTTAAACGAGCCACAGAGCACCCCACCTGCTTGTGGAGCTGCTCTGTGCTGTCTCCAGAGGGAAGCTGCTCCGAAGAGGCTGCTCCGTGAGACCTTGGGCCCTAAAAAACCTAAAAAATCATGCGTTTTACAACTGATCTCTCCAAAGCACAGCAGCAACAGCTCATGTCTCTTCACTCCCCTTTCGTTGTAAAGACCCCAATTGGGTGAGATTCACATCGGTGCCATCCAGACAGAGCATTGCAGCTTCGGCTCCCAGGTCTCTCTAGCCGTTTGTACAAGCAAAGCCCCTTCTCCGAAACTGCACATATCCAGGAGGGAAAACCTAGCTCCTTCCCCTCCCCAGGGGAACTCATGGCATTGCTTTTCCTGCATCTGCAAAAAACCCGGCCCTGGGGAGAGGCAGGAGCTAAAAGCGTGGCCAGGCTCGGGGTGTCCCCATGGCACCCCCGGGACGCAGCTCGTCGTGTTCCTCTGCAGAGGAAAGCCCTGGCACATGCACTGAGCAGGCAGGGACACTCAAGAAGGGGTTGCTTAGATGTCTTTTTGGCTGCTATTTCCTTGTTTCCTTGTCTTTCAGCACATTTTTTTACTTTCTGAGCTCTAGAAAGCCCTTTTGTGTCTTTTTTTTTTTGCGTGTGCTGTTTCATGATCCCGGTTTTGCTGCACATGCTTTGAGTGCTGCAGGGCATCGGGGAGCCCCTCAGGGGAACACGATGGGCAGCAGGACGAGGTGCGAGCCGGGGTCCGGGTGGAGTTTCCACAGGCTGCCAAGCCCTGCAGAAGGGCTGTTTTCCCGGTAGGAGGAGAGGTCGGGGGGAAATGTGTTGCCATGGCGAATGGTAAAGTTTTTGCTGCAACAAGATTCGCTCCGGGATGAGAATCTCGTTATTTCCACTTGAAAGCCCTGTTTTTCCTGGCAGTCGTATTGACATTTCGTGCTCTCAGATTCACAAGAACTAGCAATTTTCTTCCCCGACACTTGCTCTTTTGGGCCAGCCCTGGCAGAGCGTGGCAGGAGATGCCCCGAGCATCCCTGCGTCCACGTTTCCCTCCTCGGTCCTAGCACAGAGCCCCTTGACACCATCCCGCCGCCGAGCAGCCTCCCTGCCTCTCCTCGCCTTCCCCATCCTGTGCATCCCTCAATCTCCATCCCCTTGCCATGCGCATCCTCCGCTTTTTGGAGCTGGTAGCCCCTGAGTTATTCCTCTTGCTGCTGAAACCTGTCCTCGACTGTGCTTTGAGTCCTCTTTGGTTTTGCCGTGATCACTGAACCGCATGTGTTTTTTACTGCCTTTTTCTTCCATGCTTCTGCTATGGCTGTAGGACTTCTTTGTGAACAGTAGCTCCAGGCAGGTAAGTGCTCCCCTGCAGAAACCTCGTGCCCTGAGGAACGGGAAGGCTTTGGGCGCTGTCCTTGTGATTTCCCACCTGGCCACTGTTTTCTTTTTAATAGAAGGGAAAAAAAGTTAGAAAATGGGAACTTGTCTTTGTTCTCTCTGAACTTGCAGAGCGGTCTCAGGGTTTCTAGGCTCTGCAACGTTTAGAGCATATCCATAGCCTGCAGGACCTTGATATGCACCTTACAGAAGGATTGAATGGCTGGGTGTTCATTTATTAACCTTACTAGAAGCAACCAATATGGTAAATTGAAACCAGGGCAGCATGAACTCATGGGGCAAAACTCTGAAAACCTACATTAGATCTGCTGTTAAGGAGACCTGCCCATTCAGTTGCCTCTGTAGTTTTGCCTCTGTCCTTTGGAAGGAACATATTTAAACTGAGGTGCCTGTGTCACAATGCTTGGTGCTTTCATACCCCTTAGTATTTTTGGAAGCGTTTCCCCAAATGAGCAGCAAATGCTGCAGGTTGTGTTTGCAAACGTGGTAGGTGTGAGTGGTAAATGTCCTGTTGGGGACTGGTGCATAAAGGGTGACTGCAGATGTTTTGAGGGGTGGTGAAGAAAACAAGGGTGATCCTGAGTGTGTGCAGCAGTCCATAATGAAATATTTCAGGCGAGGGTTTAATGAAGTATCACAAATATGTACGCTAAGAAAGCCCTGCTTTATTTATTCAGCAGCGCCTATGTGTTTGCAGATTCTTAAATCTTCCTCTGTCTGAGAAAATATTTACATTTCTAACCCGTGGCTTCAAAGCCAGTTCTGGTTTATGAAATGACTTACTGTATTTCAGTTACAGCCTATGGGTTTTGCTCATAACCCTTGGTGACACTGCTGATTAATGGGGGCTGCTGTGTACAGCGCTGGTATGTGCTGAGAGTACTAAATGTCTTCGCTTCTTCATGGCTTTTCTCCATGCTTTCTTTTTAATTTTTTTGTAGAAGGAAGATGCTATCGATGACACGTTGAGTTCCAGGCATAAAGTCAAGGAGCTTTCGGTAATAGACGGCCGGAGAGCTCAGAATTGCAATATTCTTCTCTCAAGGTACGGGTAACATCTTGCTGCCCTTTGGGGAACGGGTCCTGCTGCTCACGTAGGCAGTGGCCCTTCCCTGTGGTGTCAGGTACTGGTTAGGCTGGAGCTGGTGAGGAGCAGTGTGCCCTGAGCTCGACATGTGCTTGGTCCCCAGGGGGGTTTTAGTGACAGGAGCCTTGGGAGCAGAGCCAGGGACACCTGAGCCCCGCTGTAGAGTTACAGCTTCCACTGCCGCCTGGTTTGGGGCAGGGAAATGCACTTACGGGGACACGTGGCACTTCACAGTGTCCCCGTGGAGCCTCGGAGGAGCTCCTTACCCGCTGGTTCCCATACGTTTTGGAGGAGGTGGATTTCATCTTTCATCTCCTTCAGGCTGGATTCGAGTTACTTTTTGGCAACTGTTGAAGGGCCCTCTGTTACACTGGGGAAAACGCTGCGTGTTGGAGGGGTAGGAGTAGCCAGCACTGGGCATTGGGCACCCCAGGATCAGCCCTGGGTACCACAAGGGGCTCAGTCCGATCCCCAAATCCCACTTCTGCCAGGGTGATAAAAGGTGCAGATTTCACAAGGTAAAACAAAGCAGCAGGACCAGCTTTGGGGAAAGCACAAGCCAGATTGTGGGAGAAATGAACCGTCAGCATAGGCATTTGAGATAGGAAGCAGCAAAAAATGCTGCCTGCTTCTGGTGGCCTCCGAAAAAGCAAATCCAACCTCAGTAAAATACAGCTGCGCTCAGAAACGTTCCCTTTTGGTGCCTGGACGTGCACAAGCTTTTGTGCCACTGTGAGCTGCCCCAAAGCGAGCACGGGGACGTGGTGCTCCGGGAGAGGAGCAATGAGACCAGCATGAGCCGCGTGTGCGGGCAGGTCGGGGGTGTGCTGTGACAATCTTGGGATGAGGTCCCTGGCTTGGCATCCTTCAACATGCTCCCGTGGGCTGTTGTAGACTCCAGCTCTGGCCCTGCTTCTTCAGCAGCCCATGGGATCTTGGGCAAGTCCCTTAATCCCTGCCCATCTCCACGCATTGGGGAGCAGCGGGTCCCTCTGTCCATCGTGGCAGTGGCCGTGGTCGAGCCGAGCTCCCCAGCAGCGGTTGCTCCAACCTCACTGCATTCCAGGGAAAGGAGAGTGGATTTTCACACGTGAAAGGACCTGCAGGGTTGGCCCCTCGCTCAGCCCAGACGCTTGCAAGCAACACAGCCCTGGCCTGGCTTGCAGCGTGGAAAGATTGTGGCCAGCGAGATACTTTATCTCTCTCTGTAGATTTATTTTTTCGCCCGCTTCCCTTGCTTTGGGAGGAATTGCTGCGCAGTGAGATCACTGCCTTGTCCTTCAGCTCAGAATGCAGCACAGGAATATTTTTAATGTGCGCTTTTTTTCTTTTAGGAGGGCTCCAAGTGTGCTGGTGTCAGTGCAGTGTAGGGCCTCACTCAGTGCAACCACCGCCATGTCCTTGTTCCTGCTCAACATGGGTATTTTTAGGGCAGGAAACCGGTGCCACGTTGTGTAAAGTACAAAGACTTGAGCCTGTCTCTTCCCAAGTGCCAGGGAGGTGCAAGGCTCATTTGCTCCCTCTCTACAACGAGGCGTTTTTGCAAATCAGTGCAGCTTTTCAAAAGGGCCACGTCCCTTCCCCGTCCGAATTTCCCCTTCACACTCAGTACGGCGCTGGCTGGGCTCTACAAAAGCCCCGCAAAACCGCCCCGCGCTCCTCTGGCTGGCGAGCTGTCACTTTGCATCTCGGGGCCGCCGGGCTTAAATCCCTGTGACAGCAAACACCGTGACCCCGTTCCTCTCAGACGGCTCGCGTTCGGCAGCTGCTGCCAACAATGATAATTATTGTGGTTATAGATAAGCTTCTAGCTTTCACTGGCCCCTTTCCCATCACGTTGTCTGAGAAGCTGTTTGCTTCTGGCGCCCCGCGCTTGCTCTCTGCCGATACCGGGGCCGGCTCTTGTTCTTGGCACTCAGCTTGGGTGATTGCTGAGAAGAGGGGAGTTTTTTTCCCCTTTTTTTTATTATTGACTTTGCTTTGAATGAGCAGGGCTTAACAAAAGTCACCATGGTTGCGGTGGTGTTGGATGTTCGTTGCTGCAAGGTTTTGGATGAGCGGTAACTGCCTGTGAGCCAGGTTCTTCCAGGAGCCTTTTTTCCCTCCCAGGGATGCTCAAAACGTCCTCTTAAGAGCATCCCTGTACCCAGACACCACTGTAGTGCCCCAGTCTTCTTCTTGCTTGGGTAGGCACCAGTGTGGCACCGCTGGGGGCTCAGCCCTTGGCAGGGGGGACATCCAGCCTTGAGCACGAGGTTTCCAGCTGAACCACCCCTCTGCATCCCGTCCTATAGGGATCAGCTCCCAGGGAGGACTCTTCTCCGGGAGTCTCAGAGGGTTTCCCCCCCGGATCGGGCTGTGCCGCAGGGTGGGAAACGCTCAATGCGGCTGAGGCAGCTGCAGGGGGAACAGCTGAGCCCTCTGCAACGGGGCCGCTGCGGCCGTGCCGGGGGGAGATCCCAGCCTCAGCCCCCACGAGTCCCATCCCTAATTCCTGGCCTTGTAAGGAGGATTGAATCCTAAGTATTCCGATCTTTTTTTTTCCTTAATTCCCCCTCCCCTTCAGCCAAACTGGCAAATTTTATTTTGGCAAACTCACGCATCGCTCTTCTTGCTCGGGGATACCCAAATTCTCATGTTTTCCGAGTGGTTCCTGCAGCGCCGGCGCGGCTGGCCCGGGCGCAGCTCCGCACGGTGCCTGTTCCCTCGGGTGTCCCAGGGGGATCTGTGCCAAACACGAGGGAAAAACACCCAGGAAATGTTAATCCTGGTTTATTGCAGGGCTGGCAAGTGCGGGGGATTTTCTTTTCAGATGCTGCACTAGCCTGGCAGGAGCATCCTCCTCCCTCGCTGCTTCCCAAGCTGGGCTGCTGAATTAATAGCCACCAGGGAAAAGCAGGGGTTTTTTTGCTGTGATACAGTGGTTGACATTTAAAGAAATGTCAAATCTTGAACTGCGTTTCCAATTTATGTTATGGGAAGGGGATGAGAAAAAAGGCAGGGTTTTCCAGCTTGCTGCACTTTGAAACACGTTGACGATTTCCTCCACCCTCTTAAAAAGTCCCCAAATTCTGGATTTGTGTTGTTCTTCCCAAAGGGAGGCTGCAGCCCAGCACGGCTGGGGGACACCAGCCTTGTTTCTCACATCTCTGTCTCGAAACCAGAGCAGCAATGAAGGTGTCTTGGTCTCTTGGCTGCATCCATACTTGGCCAAGCAAATGTCCGCCCTAGTCGCCTGCTTGCATTGAAGCTTAGTCCAAGAAGTGGCAGTGCAATGAAGGTGTCTTGGTCTCTTGGCTACATCCGTACTTGGCCAGGCAAATGTTCCTGGATCCATTGAACTGTCCGCCCTAGTCGCCTGCTTGCATTAAAGCTTAGTCCAAGAAGTGGCAGCGGGTTCCTGGTGCCCCCGTGCCGGTGGCCACATCCCCCACAGGTCCCCAGGGATGCTCCGGGTTGATCTGGGGGCTCACCAGGAAGCCACGGCCTGGGGCACTTGTTGCAAGTGACTCTCTGGGACTGGCAAGGCCGGTACTGTGGGAAATTTTCCTTTCCTGCCCTGAAATAATGGTTGGGACTGGACTACCTGGGCAAACGACTCTCTTCCTTCCACCTGCCAGGCTGAAGCTGTCGAATGAGGAGATCAAACGGGCGATCCTGACTATGGATGAGCAGGAGGACCTTCCAAAGGACATGCTGGAACAGGTGGGTGAGCTGGCATGATGCTCTTCCTTCTTTTCGGAGCACCTTTCAAATCCAGCCATGCCACCCGGGAACATTCTATCAGCTCCAGCAAAATGACATTTCGAGGCTCATTTCCACCTTCAATCACAACCCCTGGGGCTGTAAAACCCTGCGGCCTCCTTAGCGCTAGGGTTTGGGGTGAGCAATCCCAAAGCACACCCGGATGCCTGGCTAGAGAAGCAATAAAGCAAGCAAGTCTGGGAGCTCGAGGCTTTGCAGTTTGACTGTGTCTGTGATGTGTTTTTGGGCTGCAATTTGCTGTTCTTGCTGGTAGGGGGTTATTTTTTAATTGCTTTTCTTTTCAAAGCTTATTCAGTGTCTGTGCAGCCTTCAGGAGGGCAGTCTGTTTTTTGAGCCCCTTGAATCCTTTGAGGAGTATTTTATCTGCCTGTTTACTTGCCTGTCTCCATAAATTCAAGGCAGAGTGTTTCAGCCTGTCTCAGCAGAAAAGTGGAAGGTTGCACAAAACTTCCATCTGCAAATATGTGGAGTTGCAGCAAATGAGAGTCCCTCTCATCTCCTTAAAGAGGGTTGATGTTGAAACCTCCTTGGAGTGGATGTAGAATATGTGTTGTAAAACTGGAGTGATGGCAGGGCAGAAACCAGACACACAAATGTGCTGGGGTAGCAGGAGGAAGGGGGATGGGACAGTGATAACATACTTGTTTTTGTAGATTTGGAGTCATTTTCTGTACATATGGAGGCAGTAGTGGATTCAGGGGGCTAGGTCACCAATTTGCTCCTAAGGAACCATGCACGGATCTCATGCCTACAAACCTGCTTTCCCTTGTTTAGCTCCTGAAATTTGTTCCTGAAAAGGGTGACATTGACCTCCTGGAGGAGCACAAGCACGAGCTGGACCGCATGGCCAAGGCAGACCGGTTCCTCTTTGAAATGAGCAGGTAGGCTGATCGTGAGGCTGCTGCTCCGTGGAGCCTGGGCTGCAGATGTGGGCTCCACACGTCGTGTTCTGCATATCTCATACCACCTCGTGCAGAGCTGAGCTCGGCTGAGGAGCAGCATCTCTGCTCCTGGAGCACCAGCGCTTCCCGGGGCTCTCCCAGCCCCACTACCCTCTCCTTTTGGGAGGAAAACTCGTTCTGGCCCCAAACTGCAAAAAACTGCATCACCTGCGTGGTGGCACAGGCGGGAAGTGCTGTTTGGGTGACAGCAGTTCCCGAGTAATGTTCACTTTCCCCTAACACTTAACATATCCTAAAAAACACTCAAGGCTGATAGATGCAATTTTTGCCATGCTATGTAGCTCTTCACACCACTGAGACCAACTCCTTACCTCCAGCAATGCCCTGTCCCTAGGGCTCCTGAGAAAATACAAGAAGGAAAGGAGATGTCATTTCTTCCTCATCCTGGTAGCAGTGATTTAAGGCTTAGGGGTCTTGAGGGATGGATAGCTTTATCTTTTGCATGCACATCCTCCAGAGGTGCTGGCTTAAAATCTTGAAGCTCCTTATTTAAATCCAACTGAATATTGAGCTCTCTGATTTTTTGCTAAGAGGAATTTCTTCCCTGAACTTTGAGCAAGTTACTTGGCTGCAAAGTCAGTGAGTTTCATAATCCTGGATCATTCCAGGAGGTCAAAAATAGAAACACTCTTGTTCTCTCTGAGAAACACAGCACTCAATAACGTGCACAGTGTCGTTGCTGAATGTCAAAGGCAGGTAGGATGGAGCTGTGAAGTTCAGACCTGAGCCCTCAGGGCTGGAAGGCATCCAGAATTAGCCTTCCTATTTCAGGTCACCTTTTCTTTTTCACAGTCTCTTGCCCAAATGTTGCCCTCATGCCTTCATCTTTTGGAAAGCACAGCATGCTGATACAAGTATTTCCTCTGATTTCAGGCCTGGCTCCTTAATTTCCCTGTGTTTGCCATCTCTGATTAATGCAGCATGAGTTTAGCCTGTGGCCTTGTTGTCTCTGAGCATGTAGGTCCTGGTCCAAATGACTCAAATCACACTTAATGTTTATTCATAATTGAGATCTTGCTTAGCCTAAATATGACCAACATGAACAGTCCCTAACTTGCCCAGAAAAGGCTTGGACAAGGGTTTGTTGCTGGCCCTTTCCCTCAGGTGGGGGCAGGGGATCATTTTGAGCATCTATAGGTCCAGTTTCACCCATGCTGGGAGCCGTTGTGTCTGCATCCACCATACCCCATGGCAAAACCACTGAGCGCCCAGATCTGATCAGCATCTCTACTCAGGAGTGGGCTTAAATGGATTGTTTGTTGACTGCAGTAGGGTGTAAATATGCACTTTTTGAACTCCTGAGTTAAGGATAGACCTAAGGATGTGCATAAGAGCCCACCAGGATGAGCCGCTAAATGACTGCGTTTTAAGTTGGCATTTTTTTCCCCACCCCAGTGCAGTTTCAGAGAGAAAAGTGGTCATTATTTGTGAATCAGTGTGGCTCAGGTCTGCTTTGTAAGGACAGCTTTGAACTTCCCTCTGCCTGGAGCAAGCCGCGCTCAACCTTTTTCTCTGTCCTGGCAGACAGGATAAACCATTACCAGCAACGGCTGCAGTCCCTCTACTTCAAGAAGAAGTTTGCAGAGAGAGTTGCAGAAGTCAAACCCAAAGTTGAAGGCAAGTGACCGGTTCTCCTACTGCTTTTCTTCTCTTGCTAAGGGGCTCTGTGCCAGCGCATGTGGGTGACGAGGGGGTTGCAAAGGGAGCGATGTGCCCTGGGGACGGGGCTCGGGGTGTGCAGGGGTGACATCCATGTGTGTGTCCTCGCAGCGATCCGCGCCGGCTCCAAGGCCGTGCTCCAGAGCAGCAGCTTGCAGCAGCTGCTGGAAGTGGTCCTGGCCTTCGGCAACTACATGAACAAGGGCCAGAGGGGAAACGCCTTCGGGTTCAAAATCTCCAGCCTGAACAAGATTGCAGATACCAAGTCCAGCATTGACAAGTGAGCCCTCCCTGACCTTCCATCTTCGCTGGTGGGAAGGATGATGAGTCCCTGGTTTGGGGATGTGGGTCTGTCAGAGCCTTCCCCTCCCTCCTCCTGGCACATCTGGTTAAGCAAGCTGACATTTGGGGGCAGGACAGGTTTAAAAGGAACCAGAGCTGAAGATGAACACAGGGACTGTTGGGGTCTTTCCTTTGTGGCCCTTCAAGGAGTGTCACTCGAGACTTGCACCTCCTCAAAGGCTCTCTCAGGTTGGGGGGTGGGATTGAACCGGGACTGCTGCTGTCCTGACCTCCACTCGCCTCTCTCCTAGGAACATTACTCTTTTGCACTATCTCATCACTATCGTGGAAAAGAAATACCCCAAGGTCCTCCGCCTTCACGAAGAGCTGCGAGACATCCCGCAAGCGGCCAAAGTCAAGTGAGTAGGGTCTGCTCGCAGGGGTGCCGGGTCCTTGCCTTGCTTCGCTCTTCCTTTCCTGCGTTTCGCTCCCGTGCTCCCATCAGGAGTGTGTGGGATGCCGGGCTGGATTGGGTGCTGCCGGCCACGCTGGCTAGAAGCCAGGCACGGAGGCAGGAGACAAAAGCTGGTGGTGCAGCAAACATCATCTGGGGGCTGTAAATCCCAGCCCTTGCAGCAAAGGGTTGCAAGGCTCTGTCTGCGAGGGAGGAGAGCTGCCCGGAGCAGCCATTTCCTGCCGCTATCTCACCACAAAAGCATTTAATTAATTCCTAATGAAACGTTAAGTAATCTGTTGGGAAGTGGTTGTGGTGCAGTTGCAGATACAGGTCAGCTGTGAGTGCGATGGGGCGGTTCTGTCCCGCTGCACGCGCAGTTCTGCCGGAGCCCATGGGACACCGGGATGTCCTACCTGGCACTGGCACCTGAACCACTTGCTTTCCCCTTCAAAAACCTCCTCCGTTTCTTACTAAATCCCTCCTGTTTTGCTCTAACCTATTCAAGCAGGCTGGTGAACCCCTTTGCAGGCTGAAGCGCTGGTTCGGCAAAGCCCTTAAGCACGTGCTGAGCTTTAAGCGCATGAAGAATCCGCTGTTGCTCTGCAAAGCCCTCAAGTATGCGCTTAAGTCCCTCTGAAATCAATGACGCTTTCTTTGGGTTTGGAAGGTCGGCGTGTGCTTAGTGCTTTGGTGCTTAGAGGGTCTGAGCATGTGACAGCGAGTCAAGGATTACCCACCCCTGCAAGCAGCAGGCGTGCGGTGCAGCCACGGACGAGAAAAGCGCCTTAAACTGCAGCTTTTTAGACACGGGATAACAAATATGCATGGAATTTATGATGCTTTGCGGGTCTCTTGAGTTTCAAAGTGTTTTTGTACCAACGGGTAGATTCCCTGTTGAAGACCTGTAATATGCAGAGCATTTTGGGTGGTAAACATTATGTTGTTTAACACGCAGAATGATGTGCCGGTGATTACACAAAAGGATCTCGGTGTTTACACAAAATCTGTAGACGAAGCTTCATCTGCAAGGAGGACCGTGTGGCTACGGCATCCTTAGGCATCTGTGGCAGAAACCGCCCCGTGTGTGTCCTCTGCATTGGGCTCCATGTGTAGCAGCTGGCCTAGGCTCAGTCTAGAGTGAAACCAGGAAGTTTCTGAGTCGCTGGAAAACCCTAAATTCCCCCAGCCCCTGCAGCTGCTCAGCCAGGTTGCTCCCTGAGTCGGTCCCAGCAGCAGAAATGAGCTGCGGCTCTGCACAGCGCAGGAGCAGAGGGCTCCCAGCGCTTCCTTTTCCCAGGCTAGACTTGCCAGGAGCGCTTGCTCCATGACCCGACATCGCCGTTTCCAGAGACCCCAGCCCTAGGGAGATACTCCTGGAATCACGTCAAGCCCGGTGTCATCAAGTCTTTGTCAGAAAGCTCCTGCCACTTCTGGTGACAGAAACCCAAAAGCTCTTCCGCTCAGAGCTGGCTGGGGACTGAGGCTCCACATAGAGAAAGTCGGTGTTTTGTTTTTTATCACAGTCCCTTAGATTAATCTAATTCAAGGAAAATGTTTTGCTTTAAAGCAAGCAGCTGTAACCACTACCCAAGAGGCCGCTCTCCTTCCTAGCTCAGGGACCATCAGCACAACTGGCAGCTTGAGAGACACTAATCTGCAAATGGGAAGCAATGTGTGAAGCACTTGGGTCTTTTTAATGGAAAAACATGGTCAAATTGATTAGAGCACTGTAAAATTTGCTAGGAAAGGCTGAAAATTAACATCCTGCTATTTCTAACAGCATGACAGAACTGGAGAAAGAAATAAACACTCTGCGGAGCGGGCTGCGAGCCGTGGAGACCGTGAGTATTATTTACTGCCTTCCTCATCCATCGTCCCTCCTCAGGGAGGCAGGACAGGGAGCTCCTGGCAAAGCAGCTTTTGTCACATTTCCTGGAGCTCTCCTTGTCTTGCCTCCCTGCCCTGCACACGTGTCTGTCCTCTTAGGGCTGCTTTGGGATGGAAGTTGCCGTGTGCATGAGTTATTCACCAGGGAGACTGAGTAAGCCCGGGGATGATTCCCATGGAGCAGGACCTTTAAAGTGCAGCGAGGTCTATTTTTGCCTCTAAATGTGCAGGTGCTTGGGCTGGGGACACCGCTTCAAGTTGGCTGGAGTGCTGGAGAAATAAATGGTGAAGGTCTCCTGAAGACCTCCCTGCCGTGCTGAGCTGTGCCTGCTTCCTCGATCACTCCTTCAGGATTTGGCCTCAAAAGCACAGCGTAGCCCTGATGATCTGAAACGGGGCAGTCTGTCCCCTGTGTGTCAGGGGGAAGCAGTGGTGTGGTGCATCCAGTGCCAGTGGCACTGCCATGGCTGGAGGCTGCAGGAAGGATGTCACAGAAATGATGGGAGGAAGCAACAGTCTTCGGGTTCACCATGCCTTTTGGTGTGACAATAGTGCCTGACAACCAAAAAATACTATTTTGTGACTAAAGAACTTCTGGGCTTTTTCCTGGTCATGCATGTTTGTGTCCTCGATCAACCAGAATCTCATCAGATGCACTTTTTT